AAAACTGCAAGCTGAGTGTAAAAGCAGGAAATGTGCATATATTTTAGCAGAATTGGTTCAAGGGGGTGGTGCATCAATTACAGGTTGTGTTCATTGTAACCAGTTTTACTGTGTAAACAACTGACAAAAACTGTATTGCAGCACTGAAGTTTCAGGAACTAAGTTGAAGAAGAAGTAGAAGTAAATTACTGAATGCAGTGATACAGAATAAAAAGGATATTGAAGCAAATTTCTGCATTTCTGATCCATTCATGTTACAGTTTTTTTCAATTGCTAACCAGCATTTACCTAAACTTAAGATACTTTATCGAAACTCTTAAAGGGGCATTATGGAGCTTCCAGCGGCTGCTGTGCGGTTCTAAGGTTGCAACCAGGCGTGTGATCGTACGTGTGCTCACTTGAACTCATGAGCGAGCATAATCCGAAACACTACCTTTTTCATACAGAAATACCACAATAAACGCAGGAACCCCATCATGCAGGCTGTGGCTTTTCTCCAGACATGTTCAGGCTCTGTTACTTCGATGTTCCCGTCTCAGAGGCAGATCAACACCGGCGCCGTACATTTCATTCAGCGCAGCGAGCAGCATATCGGCTCAAAAATACTCCCGAAAAAAGGCAGAGTGACAGTGGCTATAGACAGACAGAGCTGGAAACTCAGGTAAACTCCCACAGCAACGTTACAGTAATAGTTTTATCAACTGTAGGCTGAACTAATCCATGCTCGTTACATGACCACGGTACATTTACTGCATTTAGCCGACATGCTACATTGTTAGCTCGCTTATTGTTCGCTCGTTATGCTCACTTTGTTCTTACTCGACATCATCTCATCATCTGTTCAGCACATAAACCTTTATTGTTGTTTTGGATCCTTACGTGGAGCCTGTGTTTTGCTGTGAGCCGGTTGTTTTATGGTGTTAGTGGACTGCATGTCGTTAGCTGCCGAGTTGTCGCTGTAGCACAAGAGAGGCTGGGGAGTGTGCACCGGGCTCAATCCGACCCGGAGACCTCACATTAAAAGCAGAATAGTGGCTGATGGAAGTAATGGAGAAAACAGGCGTGTGCTTCATTTCTAAGTGAGTTTTGAGCCCAATAAGGCAATAAAAATTTGATTTATTAAAATCAAAAACTTACGTATAGCCCCTTTAACACAGCAACATACCTACCTCACACAATTAACCAAATAGTAAATTTTCTGCTCAAAACACATTATTTTCTTTAAACACAAACACTACATTTCAAAATTCAAAAAAAACATTCTCTACATACACAGACTCTTTCAAAACACAGAAAATCTGACTCAAAATCAAATAATTCTGTGAAAACACTGGCACGTTTTCTTTCTAAGAGGAACAGATCAATCAATCATAGCACATAGACTTTCTAAATGCGAACTGTATTACTTTTCATGTTTAGGCTCTATCTGCATACAGTAGAAATGTGAAATCCATTGTTTTTATAATTCACTTTCCTTTTACTGTAAACCACTCTACATTTTTGGCTTGAAGGGTCGAATGTGTGCATTTTTGGCAACAAACAATGTAAAAGTGAATGAGTCATCTTTACTTTACTGAATGTACAGTAGTGAAAAAAATGTAAGTGACAGAATTACAGAAGAAAAATACAAATACCGCCTGGCTCTGCCATCCCTACACAAAGCAATCTCAGTCCCGGCTGTTCTCATCTGTAACACTAGGATGGTGAAACAAACTACCACATGCCATCAGAGCAGGGGTGTCCGTCTCTAACTTCAAGAAGCTCATGAAAACGTATCTCTTCCGAGAACACTTCCTCTTATAACACCTCTAACCCCTAACCTCTGCACTTCCTGTGCTCTTCTTCTATCTCCTTACAATTCTCTTGTATTGTCTACACTATTCGTTAACTCTTACTTCTTTACCTTACTGATGCTGGGCATGCTAATAGTGACAATAAACACTAGTATTTATTGTCACTTGTAGATCTCTTACTGTATTGATGCTTGTATGTTTTTTCTCAAATGTAAGTCGCTTTGGATAAAAGTGTCTGCCAGATGAGTAAATCTAAATTCACAATTACATCGAAACAAAAAACAATTGCAAAGAAGGGATGGAAACAAAAATGCCTGTCCTGTTCTAATCCCTATTATCTTCAGCCTTTGGCCACATGTTCTTATCCTGATGTACTGGGTAAGCTTGCATTTTAGAAATGGGTTAATTGACTACATATTCTGTGTAAACAACATGAACTGTGTTAATGGTATGATATGAACAAACCGATGTAGGGCTAACTGTGTTTAGAGTTTTGAAAATGTGACTACAGATTGGACAAAAGGATGTTTAGCGGTTGTAAAAAACTGTAATATGATCTTCAGCCTTTGGCCACATGTTCTCATCCACATCAGATCTAATGGCATCTCTCACTATGCACCTTAGATAGAAACACTTACTGGTTCAGCTACTCCTCCCTGGCCCAACTATTCTTCTCCCTTGTTCAGACATTATTCTTTCTTTCTCTCCTCTTCTGGGTTCTGTATCCACATTGGATAAACTCAACTCTACAAATTCCCCTTTTTACTGCATTGTGTATGTAATTGAAAGAACTTCAACACCTGTCTATGTCTCTGGTTGAGATTGGAAGTAGCTGTGGTTGATCTATTACAATTAATTACAATAAATGAGCTATTTCTCAATGTTTCAATAAATCCATTCAGAATTGCTGTTTCAATATAGATTTTGAGCTGCTATTATAGCAGAAGTAGAGGCTTTATACATAATTTAAGGTTTTGAAAATGGTGTCTTCATTTCTGACATGTAGTGTGCAAGCATTTGTAAATAACGTAGTTTTGGTATTGGTTAAGCTTGTACGTAAAGAAATGGGTTAAATGACTGCATATTTTGTGGAAACAACATGAACTGTGTTAATGATATGGCATGGCACACATAAGCCCCTTTTCCACTGCACAGTACCAGCTTGACTCGGCTCAACTCACCTTTATTTGGTTTTCTGTTGTGGAAAAGTTGTACCTGTACATGCTTCCAGGTACTTTTTTCCGTATCACCTCCGTCGAGGTTCCAGGCGACTTAAATCAAGAGACAGCTGTATGTGGGTCGCTGGTGTGTGTGACTCATTGAAAATTATGTCGCAGCAGTTGTGTGTGGCGTCGCTATGACGACCAGCTACATTGAGAAGTACTATCTCTGGATACAATCTGCAATGGAAAACGGAACACGGCCAGTAGATTTGAGTAGAGATGAGTCGAGTCGAGGCGAGTTGAGCTGGTACTGGTAATGGAAAAGTGGCTATACAGGCCAATGTTGGACTAATTGTGTTTAGAGTTTTGGAAATGTGACAACAGATTGGTCAAAATGTCGCTTTGGTAGATTAGAATTATCTTTAAAATTTGCAAAACTATTTGTATTTGTAAACTATGGCTAAGGTTTGGATGACAATGATTGAAAATGCAGAAGGCTGCTCTTTTTCTGTATGGCATAGTTCAATTTCAACAGTTCAGAGTTATACATTGCAGGTGAATGTTCAGGATTCACAGTTACACTTTCACTATATGTACTGTAATTTGTTGACAGAGCATGTCATTGTGATGCAGAAAAAAAAAATAACGAGATTATTTTATAGCACTACATAGCACAACGGAAACAATTACAAAATAAGAAATGGAAACATGGAAACACCCCTCAGGTTGATGTTCCTGGGTCCTGGGTATTGGGCCACAGATTCTTATTCACATTACAAAAGATATTTTCATAAATTTACTGTAGGAGAAATTTAGAAAAAATGACATGTAGAAAAAATGCTTGGCAGATTATGACATGTTCAACCATTTTGCATGTGACTTATGCAATGTACTTATGACTAGATGTTTTGGGGGGTAAGACTATTCAACAGAAAACCAGTATAATACTTGATCAACATGACATACAGTAAGCAATTGATAATGTAGGAAACAGCAGACAGCTGTACATAATCATTTGCATAAATGTGTCAAAGCAATTGCAATTTGCACAGTGACTAGATGATGTGGAGGTTGAACAAGTAGAATTTCAATTCTGATCTGAGAAATTTACCAAAGTGACTGAGAACAACTCTATTCTATAATGAAATACTGATTTATATGAAATAAATCTATCACATTTCGAGGTTAAAAGTTCATCAAATTTACGTAATGCTTCATATTGTTAGTGTTTTGTAGGTCAGTGTGTTACAATGACAATGGATGCTTTCTGAGTGAGAATTGTTGCCAGTGTTTTGGCTGAACAAGTTTATTTTGAGGCTTATATGAAGTGTTTTGGTGGTTTGAGTGACTTTTGGAGGTGAGATTAACTGTTTGGCCAAGATGCATGTTGGTAATGCAGACTGTGTGAAGAGTTTTGAAAAAGTGGCTTCAGTTTTGAACATTGCATCTTAGCAATTGAAAAAAACTAAAAACCCGGCTATTAATCAAAGTTTTGCAGTATATACACAGGCAGTGGAGCATGGAAAACAGTGATACAGAGTTTGAATGAGGTCAGCTGAGGTCGCTTTTGGTTGGTGGATGGAGGGTACGGTGGTGGGATGGAGAGACAGGGGCAGAAAAGCGAGAAAATAGGGAAAAAGAAATAAAAACGATGGATGGTCCCACTCTGTCAGGGTGGTTCTTTAGAGGAGTGCTGTAAATCTGTCTAGGACTGAACAGATTTCAGACTAGGAGACCAGTTAAGGGAGCGGACATTCTCAGCAATTCTAACAAATGAAACCAAGCTGCCACTTCAAACTCGCTCACTCACTCACTCACACAGGCCTGCACATACAGATACATGTAAATCTGTAATCTGTTTAGGATTGATTCAGTGCACATGGTGGACGCTGACACGTCTTTCACACAACACATGGAAGGAAGACATGGGTAAGGAAATAAAGATACTAAAATAAGGGTGGAGGAGGTTGAGCAGTATAAGGATTCTACCATACACTATGTTCTTCAAAATGTTTTTACTCTTCAGAACTGTGTGATGTTTTACCTGCATAAAATTCAGGACCATATACCGCTCCAACGACTGGATTCAGCTTCCAGCCTGCACAGAAGAAATACACACACACACACACACACACACACACAGGGTGAATGTTAGTATTGCTGAAAGATCAAACAAGAATCTGTCTGGAGTTCAAAACCAACCTTCTCTACAGAATCACAGTACTAATATCTTCTACTTTACTGCTATATTTATCTATCCTAAAAGGATTTCACAAAACCTTTGGTGGCTGGTAGTTATATCGTGTGTTTCCATAAAACATATCCCATATTTCCATTTAGTGTATCAACTACTAGCCGTGTGCAGTCTGCTGGTTATTCATTTAAACAATTACTCACATAAATAAATCACTTTATATATAGCTGTGGATGAATGTCTCAGATTAAGAGCCACCAGGTTTGGTTAGCAGTTAGTGGGTGACATGCACATATCAAATGGTTTATTAAGCATTTGACATGTGTAATTTCGTGAGCATGCCTACTGTAAATGCAAAATTGAATTCTAAGCATAAATGGTGGTTCTGTCACAATTAATGAGTGAGTGCAGCATTTAAAAATAATGAAGAAAAAAAAATTATTAAATGACATGCTACTTTTAAATGCAACATTTTTCATGAAAATCTTGACATTTACTGTAACACAGGATAACGTATACAAGTACAATCAATAAGGTGACTTTATTCCACAGATCCATAACTGTTTTACTACTATATCTATGTTTCATAATTAAATATAAAGAATATGTATGGATATATTTATATATAGGACAACATTTTAAATTTCATTATTATATGTAAATGTTTTTATATATTCCTTATTTAAAAGGAATATCTACTGATAATGGGGGACCTGATTGTATTTGTAACTGCAATTTCATAGACATGAATCTTTATTGTCTTATTTCTTCTTCTTCTATTACCCAACACTCTAATACAAATTTGCAGTCAATGTTGATTACTGTGCACTGCTAAATGTCTTATTTTTCTATTTTTTTCTTTTTCCATTTGTTTTTTTGGTGTGTGGCAACAGTTTGCTGAACTGCAGCTGAAGCCAATAAAGCAGACTGAACAGAACTGAGAGAGAGATGAGTTAGGCAGAAACATGCATGTATGTGTCTGTGTGTGTGCAGGTTTATGTGTGTTTGTGTTGGGGCCTGATGACAGTGACAAATGGAAAACCCTTCATGGCTCATTCTTTCTTTCTCTGCACGCTCAAATAGAATGGAGGTGTGTATCCGTGTGTGTGTGTGTGTGTGTGTGTGTGTGTGTGTGTGTGTGTGTGTGTGTGTGTGTGTGTAAGAGAGGTGCTGACAAGGTCTGGCCATTTATCCGCCCCTCCCCCTCATTTCTTCTTTTACTTTTCACTGTCTCTGTTGTTCACTCCCGCTCTCTCTCCACCACTCTATCATTCCATCCACATGAATGAGCATCTGTGAGAGAGATGGAGGAGAGAAACACACCCTAAAGGTCTTTTTTATTGGCTCTATTAATTTACCCATTCATTCTCTACCAAATTCTTCCCCTTTCTCTGCCGCTCTTTTGATTTTATCCTTTTAACACCCTCCTGCCTGAGAAAGAAAATATTTCACTTTGCTATTTGCATGATGATATTTTAAACCAATTTGCCTATTTGACATATAATGATTTCAAAAATCAAATGTGAACAACTATTTTTATGTGAAAGCAGAATCTGCTGCCTGGCTTCCATTTGTAGCTTTTTATTTCCTTTCCATTCACAGTGTAAGCTCAATGGGTAGAATTTGATCATAAATATAATCACAAGATCTGTTGTTCTGTAATGCAGCCAAGTCTGACAATGGCAGTAAAAAGGAACGCAAGAAAACTAGGGAGTGGGAAAAATAGAGGAAACTAATGAGTAGGAGAAGATATGAGAGTGGGAAAAATGAAAGGCAAGCAGCAACTAGAACATGTTGAAAGGAGCTTGGAAGAGGTAATATGGCTTACCGTTTGTGTAAGGGTTCACCACCTTTTTGTTGGTCATTACTCTGGCTGTGGCATTGTTGACCTGGCAGCAGACAGACTGTGGTTAGTGTTAGGGCAGACACACAAAAACACACACAAACTGAAAAACATATGTGCATATTGGTGATAATCCACATCGCAACCACTCTCCATGCCATGCTCATATTTTATCATTTCAACAAGTGAGGCTACATGCAGTAAGTGAGGGGTCTAAGGTTGAAACATATTCAACAACATCAGAGAAGATAAGTGAGAGAAAAAAAACATTTAAAAGCTAGAATGAATGCACATTGCAGATTGTAAAACCCTGAAAACGTTACACAAGATTTCAATGATTTTAATTTAAGATCACTTTTCTCCAAAAGTGAAGTGACCCTAACCCTTAAATTGTTTCACAATGCAATTTCCCAGGATAATTCAGAATAGTTGTGGTTGACTGTATCAACTGCTCTGATACACACACCGCTCTGTCTACTAGAAATTACGTCAATATAAGCCTACCACAACAGCAAATAATTGCTGGAGGAACTGTAATACTGCCCAGATCACACTTTCTATTAAAATATTAGAAAAAATATTAGTAACTGAAGCAGCCTTAGGAGTCTTGTATTAGTTGAAGTTAAAATGGAAAATGGAAATAGGAAAAAAGAATGAGCGGGCAGAAAGACAGATGAGGGACATTTTACACTCCCTTGCAAGAGGATGGGGACATCAATATGGTCCGCTAACTGCTTAAGGTTTGAGGGCAACACATATTAACAAGGTGGAAGGCACACTGGCAGATCACTATTTGGAAATAGTTATTTTTTAACAGGAGAGTTTCTAACTCAAATCAAAACTACTGTGATCTCATGCACAAGTCACAAACACAATACATCATGAGCAAAGTTTAATTCATTGTGTCAGTAAACCCTGCACTACACTCACACACTGCTTAATTGGTATGTCTTTCTCTCTGTAAGGGTTCAGCATGCAGCGTTCAAGGTGCAGCAGGCAATGGGAGAGAGGAAATGGTTGGAAGAAGAGATGGAAGGGAGGGAGTATTTCAGGAAATGTCAGGCAGGCAGAGAAAGGAAAGAGAAGGGGGAGCATGAGGGGGGTTAAAGAAGAAGAGGGGGACAGGAAGTAATAAGGCACAGGAAAAGGAAGGCACCTCTATTTTGCGTCCCTCTACGATTGTACCATTTAGTTTCTCCCGTGCATGGTCAGCATCTGCACTCGTTTCAAATGTTACAAACCCAAAGCCCTGCAGTGGCCAGGAGGGGAGGTTGAAAATCAAATGACAAAAGATGGAAGTCCAGAAATGAAATGATGAAACATGTAAAAGAAGAGAGAAGAAAAAGACACAAAGCACAGATGAGAGCGCTGTAGGTCTGGAGGAGGTCTAGATCTATAAGCAGGAGCCAGAGACGTCAGGCTGGTTAGACAAACATGACAGAAGGAACTGCATTTACAGTAAGGAAGGTTGCAAACACAGTACATCAAACCACAGACAAGAGCCCTGATTATACTTAAATTACCACCTCATTACTCTGCTTATGTGTGGACTTGTTTTACTATATTTGTGGATTCCACTATACTTGTGGGGTCCGACAGCTTTGCAGGGACCAAAATGCTAAATATAATGCCACAAAGCAGTGTGTCTGTGTGTGTGTGTGTGTGTATGTTTACTTGTGTGCGGGAATTCCTATTCGCTGTTCCTTCTAGCACCCCAGACTCTGTTGCACATGCATTTACAGAATCAACTGGATCTAATTGAATTAGCAGATGGAATGAAGGCCTCCACACACAATGAAGTTTGGGATGTGCATATGTTTGTGTGTGTGTTTGCTGTAGGATGCAGTTGCTCTGCTGGTGTGAAGAAGGCCCTGCAGGAGAGACGATAAGTGCCATACAATTACAATCTCCACAGCATCAGTCAGCCGTGACTCTCTGAGCCCCAGGACACAACTCACTCATGAGATCCTGTCTGTGTCTGGGCCCGGAGATGCAGCACACTCAAATAGCCCATATGCGGTAAAACATGCCTCCAAACCCTAACCTGAAAAGCCTCATCTATCTATGTCAATGATCTTAAAGCAGGCAGAGAGTAAGAGCTGGAAAATCCTCTCTGCTATCATTGATCACTGCCTGTGTGAAGGGCTTTATGTTAAATATTCCATTATACCTGATCAGTGTTGTTGAACTTAATGTGGTCTAAATCAGGAATTCTTATATCAGGAACTCGCAAAGAGACAGATTAGAGCCATGGATACGTCTTTAATCACACTTATGGTGCTTTCAGATCAAAAGCGAAGCGAGCGTTTGGGGGGGGTGAGTTTACATACAAAGTCAATGCAAAGATGCGTAGAGCCGCGGTTTCCTGTTGGGCAGCGCAAAGCAACGCAAAGGGGGCAGGGCTGGCGACGCGAAGGCAGCGCAAAGGAATTTGCATGAGTTGAATATTTTCAACTCAAGCGAGAAGTCGCTATCAGTGTTGAGATTGTCCGTACGTCACCGACGGCTTCAGAGCGATGTGTGGAGAGGGCCAGGCAGAACAGGGGATTGAAAATCTGCAGGCCGGCTGAGATCTGCTAAACTTGGGGGAAAGGAGCAGGGAGCAGCGCTGCAACCTTTGGACAAATTAGCTCCCGTAGTCGGACTGGATAATGCTCTGACAGCTACACCGAGCTCAGAGTAAACTGCTTTTATTAAATTAGCTTTTTACTTTAGTTTTTGGGATTACAACGTTGATTTATCTTCACTGGAGCTTCTCAGTAGCTAGCTTCTGTGCACATCCGGTTCCAGTGTTGTTGTTAGAATCGTTAGCTGTGTTGCACTATGACTTCGTATTTATATTAAAAACGGACAAAACTGGACATTACTTGGAGAAAAGACAGCGAGGAGGTTGAGCTACCTGGTGAATTCAGAAATAGTGTCTGTAACTTTATTCCAGCTATCATTGTACTTTACTGTGACCATGTTAGCATAGAATAGCCCTGATGGATCCAAACTCCATTCAGAAAACAAACATTTTTGTTTTCTGAATGGAAAGTTGTTGTCCTGCTGTCTTGCTGACAGACCTGACAAAGCATGAATTCATATGTTTAACAAATCTACATCATGTTGTAGTTAATATGGCCTCAGTTTAATCTGTTTATTGCTCTTTAATCACAGCAAAATGTTTATTTTGGGTTCATACAGTTGTAGTAATGGCAAGTTGTGTTTATTCACGTTATCGTGTTAAAATCACCTTCTTGCGTTGTGTGTGAACACTTGGAGCGAATGTACTCACGTGAGGAAAGCATCGTGAGGCGAAAATTCACGTTTGGCCTGAATGCTGCATAAGTCCAATGGACACATAAAGCAAGATTTATGTTGTCTTGCGTTTATAGCTTATTGACATGTATGATTATATTTGTAGAGTATATGGGGTATAATAGTTCTTCAGACTAAATGACAAAATATGTAATTTTCTCATTGCCTTTAAAAACAACAAATTAGCTTTCTGTGCCTCCAGTGCCTTCTAAAAAATCATGTGGTGCCACCAGGTTAATTGCTGAGATCTCAGAACACAGCAAAATCAATAACATGGGGTCAAGAAACACAAGCAGTTACATAATCAGAGAGGCTACAATAGATAAAAAGTGGTGAAATATCTTAAATTTCTCTCTTACATTAGGAGGGAAATGTCATGGCTTGGGATAAGCACTAGAAGTCACTAGTCAGTTAAACATACACTATATTGCCAAAAGTTTTAGGACACCCATCTGAATTCACATGTTATAATCACTTCCATGGCCACAGGTGTATAAAATCAAGCACCTAGGCTGCAGACTGCTTCTACAAACATTTGTGAAAGAATGGTTTGCACTCAGGAGCTCAGTGAATTCAAGCGTGGTACCATGATAGTTTACTGTGATAGTCTGAAATTTCCTCACTACTAAATATTCCACAGTCAACTGTTGGTGGTATTGTAACAAAATGGAAGTGATTGGGAACAACAGAAACTCAGCTATGAAGTGGTGGGCCACATAATAACAGAGTGGGTTCAGCACGTGCTGAGGCGCACAGTGCGCAGAAGTCGCCAACTTACTGCAGTTAGTAGCTAACAGTGCGTAGAGAGCTTCATGGAATGGGTTTCCATGACCGAGCAGCTGCATCCAAGCATTACATCACCATGTAGCGGTGTAAAGCACACCGCCACTGGAGTGACGAATCACACTTCTCTATCTGGCAATCCGATGGAAGAGTCTGGGTTGTTAGGAGAACGGTACTTGCCTGACTGCATTGTGCCAAGTGTAAAGTTTGATTATGGTGTGTTTTTTTCAGGGGTTGGGCTTGGCCCCCTAGTTAGAAGTGTTAATGCTTCATCATACCAAGACATTTTGGACAATATTGTAATCCCACTTTGTGGAAACAATTTGGGGATGGCCCCTTCCTGTTCCAACATGACAACGCACCAGTGCACAAAGCAAGATCCATAAAGACATGGATGAGCGAGTTTGGTGTGGAGGAACTTGACTGGCCTGCACAGAGTCCTGACCCCAACCTGATAGAACACCTTTGGGATGAATTAAAGCGGAGGCTGTGAGCCAGGCTTTCTCGTCCAATATCTGTGGCTGACCTCACAAATGCGCTTCTAGAAGAATGGTCAAAAATTCCCATGAACAGACTCCTAAACCTTGTGGACAGCCTTGCCAGAGGAGTTGAAGCTAAAATAGCTGTAAAGGGTGGACCAACTCCATATTAAACCCTATGGATTAAGAATGGGAAGTCATTAACCTTCATGTGCATGTAAAGACAGGTGTCCTAAAACTTTTGACAATTTAGTGTATGTTGTATTTAGGTAAGGACAAATAATTGATGCTGTTGGTTTTCTAGACAGTATGTAGTGTCTGTGACTACAAAAGTTCCTTTTATAGAGGCTTGGCAGTTTTATCTCCTATCTATCAGTCATGAGTGAATCCATTTAAGAGGTGTATTGATGAATTGCATATGTGAAAATATTGACAAAATATAAAACAATTACACAATGGAAGATATATATTGTGTTGCTAAGATACAGTTGTTTCCACATCTTATTTAATGTACTGCGGTAAATTTGCCTCCCTTACTCCCCTTTGACTTATACAGACAGAGCTGCCTACAACAAGTGTGGTCCCGGCTCTCACTGCTACTGGCCTGCTTTGTCATTGTTTAGTTATGGTGTGGAGGCAGAGACTGAACTCCATTTGATATGCCTGGCAGACGCGCCTTTTGGACAAGCAGCAAGTCCTTTTTAACTTATGTATCCTGGGCCAGTCGTTGCCCTGTAATTGCTTCACCAGATAATATGTGTGAACAGCATCCAGCGCCATGATCTTGTATGCATATACAGGATTCATTACCTTCTGCCAGGCATAAAAAACACATAGGCCTGCCCTTGAGAGGGGGAGAACTATAAAAAATACATTTAAAAGTGCGTAGTGGGAGCTAAATTAATCCTACTGACATTTTGTTGAAACGTATGGAAGGCTCTTTACCCTAACACAGACAGTCTGCTTTGTTTTCAACAAAAAACAGGGAGCTGACTGCTATAAATTCATCTCTGTGTTACCATTTAATGATCATGCTAAATCACAAGCTGGGTATCCTTTGAACCTTACAACCAGAACTACACTTTCATTAATGCCTCTTGCAGTTAAATAAATGGTATCCACTACAAATAATTACATTAGATTATTGTTAATTCCGGTTTCCTGTTGTTGTCCAGCATGAATATACTGTAAGTCATAAAAATGAAAAATATCAGAATTGGGGCAGATGTGGCTCAAGAGGTAGAGCAGGGTCCACTCACAGGATTGGCAGTTCAAGCCATACCTCCTCCTGTCCACATGTCAAAGTGTCCTTGATAAGACAATGAACCCCAAATTGCTCTGGATTGGCCAACACCCAGTTACGCCCAAAATGATTCATACCGATGTCAAATTTTGATTCATACTGAATTTTCATTTTATCAATAAGATTCGACATGACATAAACAAGTGACAAATACAGTAAGGTATTGTGTTAGAGATGTTAAAGATGAGATGTGGTGGGTTGGGGGAGCTACTTGGGCTGGAGGGACCTGGCGTCCTCATGCCTGGGGGGGGGCAGGGGATGGGGCTGAAGGCTGTGGGGCCAGTCAGGAACATGGCTTCAGTGGGGAGGACCATTCTAGCCTCCCTATGACCTCTTTCACCTTCCCTCGTTCGGTCATGTCTCACTACATCCTTTGGACTCTGGGGGGTGGGCAAGCTGCTGGGCGTTTGGTCCCCTGGTGTGGGGGCCTGCTCCGGACCCGGGAGGTCTGGGGCCTCGTACCTTGGGCTTTTGCTCATATCTGTGTCATGTTCCTGGGCCTGGGATCCATTGGCTACTCTCCTCGCCGGGGCCCTCTTTGGCAGGGGTGTGGCTCCCGTTGCTTCCCCCTGCCGGCTCTCTCACAATGAGGGCGTGTGGCAGTCCCGGGGCCACATGGGTTTTAGCCCTCTTCCTTGGGGGTGGCTGCCTGGGGGGGCCCTGGTTCTCCCACGTTCTCTCTCTGCTGTTCTCCCTAGGGGCGGCGCGAGACTGTCTCGGGTCCTTTGCGCTTTGGGGGTTGCCGTTTCTCCTTTTCATTCTCCCTCAGTTGTTTTCTTACATTCACTGTTTATTGTTGCTGTTCGGCTGGTTGTCTGTTTGTTTTTGTTGTTTGTTTTTTCTCTCTGTCCCAAGCTTCCCTCCTCGTTCTCTTGCAGGTGTTGTTCTTTTTTGTGGCGTCTGTTTATGTATTGTTTTGTGCCCCCCATTTAAATGAATAATAATACAGTTAAAGTAAAATCTGTCTGGCACAACATGGTATCCAGCTTCTCATACTCTATACCAGGCTGCTGGGCAGGACAGGTATTAAATTATTAATACCTTTTTTTTTGAGAAATTTTATGTAATTTCCAGCCAGATGAAACCTATTGGTAAAATGAAAATTCACTGTGAATCAAAATTTGGTATGGTACATTGGTGATTGAAATCAAAAGGAAAAACCACCATGAAGTGTAAACTGTTGTTAAGTAAACTGAACCTTGAGAACAGCTTCAGTGCGCCTTGTGCATTCTTCCAATAGATACTGTCACGGTTTGGGCATGACTGGGTATGTGGTGCGTTCAGGGTGTGTTTTTCCTCTCTGTCTTGTGGTTATTTTAGTGTTTTAACGGTATTCATTATATGTATGTGATAACCTGTAAATTGATGTTGGCTTTTTTTAAATCTCTGTACAGCACTTTGTGCAACTTCATGATTGCTGTTAAAGTGCTCTATAAATACATTTTGATTGATTGATTGATTTTTCTGGGCATAGCAGCTCCTCCACACCTGCAGCTGATCAGCTCATCACCACTCAGCTCTTAAGCTCCTGCTTTCTGGAGGGCTGGTGCCAGATTGTTTTTTGCCATCCCTGGTAACTAACAGTTGTAGGCCAATGAAAAACTTCTCTTGTGCATTGTGGCTTCTGACTTTCATGCTAACTGTTTTTGTCTTTTCTGCTTGTTTCAGACCTCCGCTACCTCATGCCTCTTGACATTGTCAACACACGCCAACACTCACCCACTTCCAAGCCTGGACTTCCTAGCCCCCTCCCGACTTTGCCTAGTCTTTTTTGTTTCTGAAAATAAACCCCCATTTGTTGTTTGAGTCTGTGTATGCATCAGAATCCAACCTCCACCCAACCGTAACAGATTTTCCCTCTTTTGTTTTGATGGTTTTGGAGAGTGCTGTCTAACATATCATTCCATAATCTCCTGTAGTTGTTGAGTTGAGATCTAAAGGCCATAGCATATGATTCACATCATTTTCATTCTCATCAAACCATTCAATGAGCCCTTGTGCTTCACACAAAAGCATTACATTTATTGCTTTGACACTTGTCTGTATCTTTGAGGAGTTAAGAATCATCATTAAGTAAACTTTATTATTAGGCTTTGGCAATGGGCATATAGGTAAAGAGAACAAAATCATTTTACAATTGTAATCTGCTATTCCCTTTATTTGTCTGCAGTACTATCTTTGTGTTTTTCTTTTTGCGTAAATGTAAATCAGTTGCTAAGAAATATCTGTAATGCCATTTAATAATATGGAGCTGTGACATACTTCTTTATTCTTTCTGCATTTTTTTGACTGGATACTGTCAAAATCTAGCCGTCTCTAGTTCTCCAACATTGCCTACCCCAGGTAAAATTATATATAAACAAATATAAACAATGTAACCTGATTTTCCATTTATGCAAGCAATATGTAAGTCAAAATGAAACGACATTTGACATTTCAATTTTCGAAGACTTAACCTGTTGTACAGTGGACAATATTTGTGTAAGTGAAACAACGCCCCAATCTATCTACATGTAACCATGCTCTTCTGGTGTCAAAATGAAAATGTCAGTTCAGATATGTAGAGTTTTATTATGCAACAGTCAGTTATTTTTCAACCCCTGTAAACAGGGCACTCCTGCAGAGATAGCTTGTTCTCAGTGTGTTCTGAGATTTAATACATTTTCTGGATCTGAGCTAGGTGGAGTTTATTCGCATACTGTTTATTTTTACTTCTTCGCACTATAGCTTGGGAAGCTAACCAAGCAAGACTGTTATTAGACTGTGGGAATCCTACTGTCAGCGTTAAGTTAAGTTAAGTGTGAGCAATTCATTGTATGTCAAAATATATGGCAGGCTGGTTAGGTGTAAAAGCTGCCTGCGGGCAAGTGTCACTGACAGTAGGAAAGGCAGATATGAAGACAGTGAGAGTAGTGTAGGACTGCAAGAGAAAAGGAGGGCAAGGAACAAATACAGTTGGCTGGAAAATCACATGTGTGTGAATGTGTGTTGATGAATGTATGGTTACAGTGCACTTACCTTGGAGCCTCGCTCGTTAAAAATAATCTCCACATCTAAAATCTTGCCAAATTGCTGCGGAAGACAGGGAGGGAGAAGGAGGGCAGGGGGTGAAGAGAAAAGCAGGAAGGGGGAGGAAATAATTAGAACATGGCGACCTGCACTGTTCTCTCCTACTAAAATAGAAAAAAAACTAACAAACCAAACTTAAAAAAAAAAAAAAAAAAAACATTACACAGCTCCACTCCTGAACACACTACTTCTTGCTACTAAAAAGGGCAGGCAGTCAATTGCGAATTAACAAACTCCTCCTTACTCGACAATGAGGATATCAAATATAAATATCCATTTACGCCTAATGCTGTTTAATGCTGTGTTTGCTCTGGCGTGGTAATAAAGAGATGTGTGTGTGTGTGTATGTGTCAGTGTGTGTTTTGGAGACTAGGCCTATGCAGTGTTCATGAACATTACGGTGGTGGATGTGAACGCTATTGCAGCGCAATGCCTCAGCGCACACCACTGATCTTAATGATGCCCATTATCTTGCTTTTCCTCTCCCCTCTCAAAGAAAATTGAGAGCAGAGCTGCATATTCTTACTGAAGGCAATGTCCTCTCAGTTAAAACAGAAAATGGATGGCTTGTATTTGGGGAGTAAGGGGGTGAGAGTGAAGGGATAAACCATCAAGGCTAATGATAAACCATATATTTGTTTATCTGCAGCCTATCGTAATTACCTGCCAAAGCCCTTTCTCACCAGTATAACCATCAGAGATGTAACAATTTACCAAATAGTGTGTGTGTGTGGGGGGGGGGCATATATAAACAATGATATTAATAATATCGCCGCCGCCGTCGTCGTCATCATTATTTTCCATCTTGGGTTAATTAAAGTAGTGTAACTTGCAGACATGATCACTAGTCACGTTACACACACAGTTGGAAGACAATAAAATAGATTTATGGTGTAATATTTATGAAATATATACCTACAGCTTGTGCTAACTTTAAATACAGTGTTTGACTTATACTTTACTCGGGCAGGCCACCCACTTATATGAACAACTACCAAGGTATATTTGGTGACCCATTTTAGCACTTTGCAGAGAAATACAGAGAAAGAGATGTTATCTGGGGCCTGTACCACGAAGCAAGTTCAACATACCCAGGATATGTTTTCGCTATCTGGCTTAACTAACCCTAACAATCGTGATCGGGATAAGCGGTACCATGAAACTGGTTATCAACTCGGTAACTCAACCCAGGGTTTCCCAATCCAGCCGTGAGCGGGTTCACGTACAAGAGGCAATGTTAGCAGCAGATGACCAATCGCAGACATGAACAAGTCCACTGGCAGCAGAGCGTCATATTTTACAAACGAGCAAACTGTAACACCACAGTATACAACATAGCTGCAGCTGACACATGCAGGGAGACAGAAATTCGCTGACAGTGTGAATGTCTAGATGAACAGGTGTAGTCTATAATAATGCGTTGATTTGATGTGTTCTTATGAGCTGGATGAAAATATCAGCCTTATTCTTTCAGCTCGGCTGTGTCGGCGTTTCCACATTAAAAAGCTCAGGTACTGAAGAAGTGGTCGTTACTCCTCACTTCAAAAATGAGATTAATTTATTTAAAATACTCAAATGTTCCAAACATTGTTCTAAATTAACCTCATGAAACAATGAAATGAAAAATCCATTAATGCCATAAAACCACCTCAGATGGTGGTTGAAAGACTGAATCCCAACATTTAGGCTACTGAAAACTTACCTCATTACCTGTACCCACATCGCAAAAGGTGGGACTGAACATGACCAGTCTCTGTAGTAGGCCTAAAAGAAAGCTACTAACCTAAAATGAATAGCCTACATTCATATCAAAAGTTAGTATTTCAATATCCGCATTAACAGAGGAAAACAAGAACAACCCCAGATTTCTTTATAGCCCTGTAGTCAGGCTGACAGAGTCACAGATCTATTGAGCCATGTAATCCTTTAGCCCTCAATAGTGACGACTTCATGAGCTTCTTCAATATTAAAATCCTAATTATAAGAGACATCATGTTGTGGTGGCAGCCCGGCTGACGGTGAGTGTCCTGTTTTTTTCTCCTTTTTATCAGTTTTTCTGCTTTTTTCCTTGGTTTCCTGTTCTCTGCCTGCCTCCCTGTGTTTTCTCCCCTGTGTGCTCTCTCTCTCTCTCCCTCTGCTCCTGAGCCCAGCCAACTACCTGCACCTGCATCTCATCAGCCACCTCGTCAGCCTGCCACACCTGCCAGTAATCACCTCATGACTGCCTGTATTTCAACCCCGGTTCTCCACACCATCCTCGCTTGATTGTCGTTGCTCCATACCCGGCGCCACTTCCGTGTTCAGGCCTCCATGTTTCTTGTCTTTTCACATTTACCCTGTGCCTTGTCGCTGTCTTCCCTAACCTCGTCTCTCTGTCTGTTTCCCTCCCAGGTACACTCACCCTCGTCCTCCGTTCGGCTGGGCTCATCCACTGGCCTACTCCTCCTCGGACTTCCCTCACGGCGTCCTCCCTGTTCCCCCGCCTCTCCTCGCTTCCTCGGCCCCTGTGTTCCCCGGCTCCCTGGCCCCCTGTCTCCTTGGTTCCCCGTACCTGTGCTTCCCCGACGTCCTCCTCTCCCTCCACTCCAGTCCCTCTCACCCTTTTTCCCTCAATAAACCTCCTTCCCTCAGAGTGCTGCATTTGGGTCCTCTCTGTCCACACACCACACCCCGTAACACATCATTCATCATCTTGTGCCTTCAACTGGTACTAACTTATCTTCAAACTCAGGAACCTTAGAAACAACTGAAAAACCTGATATATATTTAGACAGCTTTTCCCCCATTGATCATCACCAACTAACGTCAATGATTTCTTCATCTAAACCATCAACCATCTTCCCAACCCCATCCCAACAAGGCTGCTTAAAGAACTTCTCTAGTTCAAGTTCTTCTTTACTAGATATGATCAATCTGTCTTTATTAACAGGCTATGTGCCACTAATTAAACCTCTTCTTGTTGATTTACATTTACTTATTTGGCAGAAGCTTATATCCAAAGCAACTTACATTTGAGGAACAACATACAAGCATCAATAAAGCATCAAGACAGTAAGAGATCTACAAGTGACAAAAGAGCAGCAAAATATACTAGAAGGAGCTATTGGAACGTACGGCATCAATGGGGTAAATACCTAGGGAAAGACGTAAGAGTTTATGAATAGTGCAATCAATACAAGAGAATTTTAAAGAGATAGAAGAAGAGCACAGGAAGTGCAAGTTAAGAGGTTATGGGTTAAAGGTGGTGAGGAAGTGATCTCAGAAGATATTAGTTTTCAAGAGCTTCTTGAAGTTAGAAAGGTATGCCCCTGCTCTGTACGCAGGATAAGCGGTTGACGATGGATGGATGGATGGAGACCATCGGTAATGGAGTGACATGAGTCCTTTTGGGTTGATCAAAAACCAAATGTGGTCCCTTGTTCTGACCCATTTGTAGGGGTTTTACCACACAAACTGGAAGACCCGCTATAAGGGCAGTGCAATAGTCAAAGTGAGAGACAACCATGGCCTGTACCAGAGGCTGGGCGGTGTACTGAGTAAGATAGGGCCTGATTTTTTAATGTTGTATAGAACAAAGTGGAACGAATGAGAGACAGCAGTAATATGGTCTGAGAGGGACAGTTGGTCATCAATCATAACACCTAACTTTCTCACAATCCCTGGTTGGACTGATAGTTGAGGAGAATTCGTAGTTTGATGTTATGGTGAAGAGATTGCTTGGCTGGAAAGACCTGAAGTTCAGTCTTAGAGAGGTTTAGTTAAAGGTGGCAAGCCTTCACGCAGATGTGTCCGAGTGACAGTAGGGTGGGGTCGTCTGGCGGGAAGGATAGGCAGAGTTGTGTATCGTCTGTGTAGCAGAAGTCATGCAAGTGAATGATCAGTGAATGATGATAAAATTGTAATTATTAGACAAAATCATCACCTTCTACCCTCAATCAGTACAAAGTTTATCTTCAAACTCAGCCACCTTAGAAACAACTGTAAATCCTGATATATATTTAAACTACTTTGCTCCCTTCGATCTTCACCAAATAACTTCAATGATTTCTTCATCTAAACTATGCCCTCATCCCAGCTAGACTGCTTAACTTCTTAACTAGATATGATCAATCTGTCTTTATTATTAGGCTATATACAACAGTAATCAAAGGAAGCTGTAATTAACCCTCTTCTTAAAAAGCCCACTCTTGATCAAGGGGTTTTAGCCATCTATAGAACCACAGCACCTTATTACCCCACCAGAGCACTGCGCTCCCAGAATGCAGGGTTACTTGTGGTTCCTAGAGTCTCCAAAAGTAGACTAGGAGCCAGAGCGTTCAGCTATCAAGCTCCTCTCCTGAGGAACCAGGTTCCAGTTTGGGTTCAGGAGGCAGACACCATCTCCACATTTAAGAGTAGGCTTAAGACTTTCCTCTTTGATAAAGCTTATAGTTAGCGCTGGCTCAGGTGAGTCCTGAACCATTATGCTGCTATAGGCCTAGACTGCCGGGTGACTTCGATCTGTATGCATTCTTATCCCATTAATGCATGTTACTAACTCGACTATTTCTCTCTTCCGTAGTTCGTGCTTTCTTGTCCCTCCCCTCTCTCCTTCTGTCGCTTTATGCAGGTGTTTCTGGCTCTGGAGCTGTGGGGGTCTGGATCTGTGGTTGCAAGACACCTACTACCCCCATGCTCCTGCTTGACTCCTGCTGCTATAATAATAATTATTAGTTCTGTTATTATCATTGCTATCATTATTAATATTATTCATTTTATTGATATTTGTATTATTACCACTACCATGACTATTATTTTACATCTCCATGTGGAACTTGTATTGTACTGTGTATTATCTGTCCTTCTGCCCTCTCTCTCCTCCCTGTCTACCCCCCAGTGAAGAAAACGATGGTGAGTGGGAGAATTATTACCCAAACTGTCATCGTGAAGATCATCATCCAAGACCCACTTCCTGCTTGAACTTTGACCTATTGTAATTACTGTAGTTGTGTACAATATATATA